AGCCCTGTTACTCTCGTTCCCGCCTCTGATCTCCCAAGTGGTCTACGAAAACTTAGATCTGGTGACCACATGGGTAAGATTGTCGTTACTCTAGGAAAGGATGAATCAGTCCTTGCGGAGAGTGCTCTGCATCCTACACCAGTGCCATTGAAGTCTGATGCCACATACCTGATCACAGGAGGAACTCGTGGTATCGGTCTGTCACTTGCATATTGGCTGATCGAGAATGGAGCCAAGAACATCGTCGCATTGGGTCGAAGCGGTGGTTCTGGGCCTGAGGTTCAGAAGCTCTTGGAGAAATACGACGGCACTGATGTTACTGTCAGAGCTTATGCGTGTGATGTTGGCTCCAAATCTGACCTTCTCCAGGTTGTGGAATCAATCAAAGATCTTCCACCAGTCAAAGGTGTTATCCATGGTGCTCTTGTCCTCAGCGTAAGTTCTTTCCATTATAAATCTCAATCGCATGAAAAAAAACACTAACGTTGCAATAGGACAAATTGCTTGAAAATGCTACGTATGAAGACTGGAAGATCGTCACGGGTCCACGAATTCAGGGTGCATGGAATCTCAATGATCTGCTGCCTGATCTTGACTTCTTTATCGGTCTGTCTTCATTCTTGGGAGATACAGGTAACATTGGTCAGAGTATCTATGGAGGAACTGCTGTGAGTAAATTAACAAGGATAAACACTTCAGGAAAGTCAGGCTAATCCTTTATCAAGGCATTCTATGAATCTTTTGCCCGATACCGCAACGCGCGTGGGCAGAATACCGTCTCCATCGCCCTTCCAGTGGTTCTTGATGTCGGTTATGTCGCCTCAAACGAGCTTACGGACAGGCTTAAGGCAACTCTTGGTGCGACATTGAGGATGTCCGATATCTACGCCATGGTCAAGAGTGCCATCCAAGGCCAGGCCACGTCGCCCATCTACACGAACGGCAAGGCAACTGCATTTAAGATGGCTCTCAACGGTCAATCCATTGAAGATCTCCCATGGACGTACTTCCATCCTGTTCATATCAAGGCTCGTCTTGCTGCCGGTGCAGATGATAAGAATGCGGCTGGTGGCTCCGGTGTTGACCACTCCGCCTCATGGACATCAGCTTCCGACCCGCTCGTTGGCCTGACGGAAGCTCTGATCACAAAGGTTTCCGCCATGACCATGATCGAGCGTAGTGAGATTGAGCCCGATGCCCCTCTGGCATCTCACGGCCTGGACTCTCTCGTTTCTGTCGAGTTGCGCAATTGGATTCGTAGGGAAACCTCGGTGGAGTTGGCGCTCACAACTATTACTCAATCGGCCAGTCTCCACGCCCTGGCATCACATGTACTTCTTCAAATTCCCAAGGCTTGATTTAAGATAGTTAGTTTATATTTTCTTTGTTGTAGTTATGGCATGTGTTTACGGCAATTGGGTGGCGGACGGTCCAACCAGTCAAGACGTTTGCTATTTGTAGTATGTTATATTTAGTTCAAAAAAATACCCAGATTGGATCAATAGGACAATGCCATAGGTCAAATTAAGGAATCTTAATCTTGTCGGGATGTCAATGTTAGAGTGGTCCATTATCAAGGGATCTTCATGAATAAAACAATTAATCCCTTCGTTTGGAGCATAAGAAATGACATACCATGCAGTGCCTTTTTATTTAGTTGACCAAACTGAGTTCTGGGAATGTTTGGATGGGCATTAGGACATTTTTACTATAATGTAAAAAACGATAAATGACTCATAAATACCGAGTCCTGTTCTCTGTGATAGTGAGCTAAAGTATCTCGTTGAGTGAAAGTACTCGCTCGACTATAGGGTAAGTGATAATGTACAAGATTTTAAAAAGTAATATCAACCATCCTTGTCATTGCAACCAAATCGCGTCTTATCCAGTATTTCTTAGTTACCAACGGTGCTCCTGTCACAGGGAGAAGAGTCGGCGACCCAGCCCATCAAACGGTTGGCAATATCGCTGGAGTAGCAAGGGTTGGAGCGGCCCTGGCCCAGGTTTCCAGATGATGGCATGACACCAGAATTGTAGAGAAGAGCTCCCTTGTAGTATTTGCTGACATCGCTAGCGCCGCTTCGTGCTACAGTTTGCTTGAGACCGTCGCTGGTGGTGAGGCCGACACCATCGGTAATCATTCCTTTAATTATAGGCTCATTTAGTAACGGATCGGAGTAGGTTGTGAACATGGAGAGATCGAAGAAGCTTACCCTTGATCTGAGCATCGGGGCAGGGAACAAGTTGAGGGATACCGGCATCGACGTCGTTGCAAGTGTGGTCACCGTTGAAGCACTGCAGAAGACCTGGGTTTCGGTATCCCTGAGTGGCGGAGTAGGAGGTCTTGACGCGCACGCACATAGCTGATTCCTGGACAACGGCGGCGAGGATGAACCGGGCGTCGAGGCCGGAGTCGGTTGCAGCTTGCTTGATGGCAGCCTTGAGTACAGTATTCTCAGCATCACTGTTGGCGGTAAGTCCTAGCCATTTGCAAGCACCAGCGGATTGAGGGATGTTAACATCCCAGCTGATGACATGAGGTTAGTTTGATTCTCGAACAAGATAAGAAGGGATAATTCAATATACATGGTGTCAAAGCTAGCCCAGTCGGAGGTGTTGGGCCAGCCCTTCGCGACAGTGCCATCGCCCTTGTATGTCTTGTAAGAGACAGCTCGGGGCTCGAGGGGAGTTGCCTGGGAGAGGCCGATGAGGCTGGCAGCAGCAAGAACGAATGGCGTGGTAGCGACCATTTGAAAGATTGACTGGATGAACGAACGATGGTTGTCGTTGTGGTTGATGAATACGTTTAGCAGAAGATGATGAATATGATATATATGCCCGCACGACAGCCCGTATTGCCGGCGGGTTTACTCCTTGAATCGAATCATTGAGTTAGCCCGATGTCTCACCAGTTCGAAACGGGAAACATGCGAAGGACAACGGGTGACAGGGGGTTGGGGAAGGGACCAGGGATCACAGACTGCAGCGTCAGCAGGACTCGCGCCAATATTAACCTCATCTGAACCGGCGATCTGATTGCCTGGAGAACGATGAATCTTCCCGGAGCAACCCATCGCCCCACTGACATGACACAGGTGGGACAAAAATAGAGCCCATGTCCTGGAATCTGATGCCACGATCAATCAAGTGAGCATTCAAGGTTGGGGAGATCAGCGTACTACTGGGCGCGGATGGTGCGCCATTGGTCATTTTCCTCAGGGGGGATCAATAAGGCTCAGACGAGCTGAGAGGCACGGCTCAAGGGTTGAAACATCGGCCGCGGAAGACATTGGCTAGTTAAGGCCGCGCAAGCCCCTATTTACTGGAGACACCTTTGGGTTCGGCCTATGTGAAAGATTCCGGCTCGGCTCTTACGCGATAACAACACAAGCCCTCCATTTATTCTTCATGATCCGAGATTGTTGCTCTATTTGGCCAAAAGTTTGACAGGCAGCCGCCTGGTAGGTGGAATTACCGCGTGGAGCATGCATCTGCATTACCATCAGCTCCTGGAAACAGCCACGTCTGTAGCCACGTGCATTGCCTGTGTAGCTGGAATTAACCCAATCACAGCCAGTCTTGTGAAGATGATGCAGATTAATGCAGTTTCTGCGATTCACTGCGGATATTGCCACAACAGAAAATCCCCATTTCCTGAAACTTGCTCAAATATCACAAGTGGTCACAACAACTCATCGGGCTAGCGAGTATTGGTATCTGGCACTTTCAGCTATCCTTTGATTCCATTCTCTGAAGCCGGTAGTAAGGGGGAGAAGTTAATCTGCGCTTCAAGGTAGCTGCTCATTTGTTTCTTATTAATTTATTTATTTCCTTTTTTGTGAATTTCCGTTTCTTTGCTTGTCAATCTAACGGAAACAGAGTCCATGTGAAGTGGGTAGCACTAGAGGCACGACCCTTGCGGCAATTCTTCCCGGAAGGAATGGAAATTAATATACGTTGCATCGGCGGGTTCCATTTCCAGTAGGACTGGAATCCTCCTAAATGGCCCCGGAATCAATAGCTGGGACCGGTTGTTTCGGCCGGCATGTACATAGAAGAGGCTCGCCAGGGTGTGTTCCAAGGTTGGGGATAACATTCAAATAGGATTTGATGGTTAGGTAACTCATACATTCAAGCTTGCTGAGTACAAGTGGCGAAGCCAATTACTTGCTCTGGGCCTCCTTCCCTTACCCACATCCAAAGGAATCGCCCGTGCGATATTCGTTGGGATATCACGCCATGACTCTTTAACATCAATTAGAACATGCTATTTGTACGAGGTACTTGTGCTCTGCGTAGAGCTTGGTCTCTACAGCGGGGCTTTAAGATTCATCCTAATTATCCACGCGTCTTGTGCAGGGAAATTTGTTTACGTCCAGCCTCAGGGATACAGCTTTGTTCGTGTCGGCCACGCCTTTTGGCATCTGAAGGAGAAATTTATAGATGTAGAGCAAACTCAATACTCTGTAGACCTTGATATGAAACTACCTACCGATTTCAGGTGTGCCTATATTCTACCATTAAATCAAGGCCACGAGAGCAACTGCTCAGTAGTTGCGAGCTGGATAGACAATTATAAAGCAAAACAGGGTTAGTTTCAGGCAGGACATGAGTCATTAGAATTAGGTAGGAAATTGGGTAAATCCTGGCGAGACAAATCTGAGAAGCCTTTTGTCTAAGTCTTCTATGATTATCTTTATGAAGATCTCCTCGAAGCAGTAAGTATTCTTAAAAGCCATAAACTTAGACACAGAGTAATCTTGTCTGTTGATAATTAATCAAACCATTTAATCTATTTCCCCAGAGCCTTCCATCTTCTCAAGCAATGGGTACCGCATCTCACTCCTGGATTCTCCCCTACACTGTGCGACCCTTTGGGTGATCAACATGCATACCATACGAAAAGGTGGTAGCGCGACTTCGTAAAAGGGTACAACATGGTAGTATCTTTTCTAACTCTAGTTTCCGCTTTCGTATTAGTATCCGACACCGGTCTTCTACTACTTCCGGAAGATTACTGAAGAAATGACATCTCTTCCTGTGAATAATACGTGAGAAATAAGCCCTGTAAATTGGCGTATTCCCCTTGCCTGGATGAAACGATATACACCATAGGCGGTTGCCAAAGGCAGTCCCACGAATATGCCAAAAGTGAACAAATACAGATCCCAATTATTTTTCTTGAACCATGACAGTCGCACATCAGCAGTCTCTAAATGCATCGGTCGGCTTCTCGCCCCCTGCTTCTTGTCTTGGCGGAGTTCATCATCGTATAAGACTTCTTCGACTAGGTCGGCGGCCAAGTGCTTGCGTCTTGCAGCAACACGCGCTATCCGTCGAAGGCGGAGAACATTCCGAGCAAAAGAACCTTCCTCGTCTTCTATTATAAGGGCGATTCTCGAGGTAACTTCTTCCTGCGTAAAGTCAAATTTGTCTAGACGCAGTCCCACTCCAGCTTCTTCAAGCCGAACCGCGTTGCATAGTTGATCAAACATGAATGGGATCACCAGAGCTGGTTTGCCATGATAGGCAACTTCATTAGCTGAAGACCCGCCAGCGTGTGTGACGAAAATAGCAGTGTTCTTGTGATCCAGTACCGCTCTTTGCGGCGAGTATGTAGGGAAGAACACAGAGCTCGCCCTGTTATCAAGGAGATCACCCAGGCTGAACAATTCTCCGTCGACTTCCAGTTGCTGTTTTCGATCCAATTTTTGCCGTGTAAGCGCAGGCAAGGACCAAAGAATGCCATCGATATGACCTGAGCTAAGGGACTGCACTAGGCCACGAAACAATTTGTCAAAGGTATCCTTCGGGAGGTCGATATGAGTTCCAAGCGCAACATAGGCCGTGCGGCCATGAGAGTCAAGGAAGGAACCATGTGGCTGATCCAAGGTCGGAAACTCATCTGCAAGAATGGGTCCAACAGATGCCATAAGAGGGGGGAGGTCTTTGGGAGTTTCAAGACCAAAGAAAGAATTGACAAGGACGAGGCAAACGGGTCGTGAGCCAGCAGTTAGTCTTGTAGGGTTGGGATAACGAACGCCTGCCTTCTTCCGAAGAGCGGTCAACCATCGAAGCCAAACTAGGAAGCTTGGTATCGCGCACACCATGACCAACTCATTTCTCAATCGAGACATCAATGACGCATGCTCCGATGTTGTCGAGATGATAGCCTGAAATCCTGGTTGGCCAGGGATGTATGAAGCAGGTGCCAGCAAAAACGGCATTTGCGGCCACATGATAGCAATTGGGATTCCAAGCTCAGCCATCATGTCTTTTGCGGCCAATTCGGCGAAGAAGTCTGCAATTATGAAAGATGGTCGTGTTTCTGGATTAAGGCAAACTTTTCTGACGCCTTTGTATGTTACGGGGAAGAAGGAATCCCAAAGATATTTTGACTCCCACATCTCGCTCCCAACCCCTTTCTTGGCATCATGCTTCGGCATCCTATTCCAGTGCTCCCTGTACTGTTCTTCTGTAGGACCCTGTCCCAGAGAATGTACTCTTCTGATAAACGGGTAGTTCTTTGCCCACTTTTCTTGGCCGTCGAGGGTTGCGAAATCGACAGTATGGCCACGTTTGGCCAGAGCCTGGCAGACATCTAAAACAGGAGCTAATACCGTGAACCACAAGACGTTAATTTCCGGTCCCGAAATAAAATGAAAGTGATAAGCCTGATATTGAAAGCCCTACCTGCGTGAGTAAAGCCACCTGTAGTGACTAATGCCAATATTAGTCGTTGTTCGCTTTCGTTCTGCATAGTGCTCGCCTGAATTATTTGTTACCGGTATCCATTCAGATGGAAAATTCACAAGTACAAAAGCCTTCCATCCAAACATATATATATATGCGCGTCGCAGTATGGTCCGCAAATCCGGCCTCCGTATCAAATGGGTCAATGCTGTTAATCGTATGATTCGATGGACACACCCGGAATTGGAGTGGGTTTCCTCCGTGGGTTTCTTCCGACTAACCAGATTCATCAAACAGAGAAGGACGGTGAAGAGTGGATTCCTCACTTTTGCTTTCTGAATACCAAAAAGAATAGAGAGCAAAATCAGACGAGATGTTGCAGCGGGAAGAGTCTTAGAGCGGCGGTTGCTGTCGTTGGTTCTATTCCATCACGATGTACAGCACTTTCCGGCAAATCCAGGTCCCTACAGTCATTCAAGCTCTTCGATCTATCTTGAAGCCGGTCTTTATTGCCTGTAGATCTGTAATTGTTGCCGTAGCCGATACAACGAGGGGAAAAGACAGGAGAAAGAGATAGAGGAAGAATGGCCACCTGAGCTCCCTAGGCATTGTAGATCGGTTTTACTTGACTTTTGTTTTAAGCGCACATAAGACAGTTAATCATCCAATATCTGTGAATTGGCATCCAGTGTCAAAAGTTGGCTCTAAATCATGGTGAGGACAGTTCATGTCAGACGTGATTGATAAATGCAGCTAATGCGTGTCACACCACCTTTCACTAACTTGTGACAAGTTGAAAGCATACAGGCGGCCCAGAGTAGGTCGGTCATCTCATATCAACACTCATCTCAATCATCATAATAGACCGTTGCTCTTATATTCAGAATACAAGTCTACAGAAATCATCCGGTCATTGCCTGTTCCTATAATACATGGATGGCATGTTAACAAACAATTGCGAACTTGCAGCCATTCATGAATCAAGCGCGGACTAGGTGACTATGAGCAATCACACAGCTTCTCCCTACTATATAATCCTCACAGTTCTAATTCTGGTCGCAAATAAAATCCCCCTTCTTCATCACCAACTTGCATCGTAAAACCAAGCCTAGTTCACCACCAATATTTGAGCGATGTGCTCCGAATTCGACATCACTACAAGATCAACATTCAAGATGCCACTCAAGAAAGATCCCTATCCTCCAGAACGGCCCGCAACGCCTTACCCGCCTTGGGATCCCAGACCGAAGCTCAGGGGATGTTCTGGCCTTGCTATCGAGTAACGCATCTCAATATCAATTCAGGTATGCCTCATCCTAGCATGAAGATTTCACAGGTTTGACCCTACATAGGTTGAACCAGGTCTACCTATGAGGGTTATATTTGGAGAGAAGGTCGAAACGACATTCAATCATGAAACCAAACGCGTGGAACGCGTTATTCTTATGTCAGATAGGATCGTTTGAAGGTTCATTCGTTGATTTCCTTGACTGTCGGCCCTTAGCTTGAGATTTTTCTTCGCCATGAGATTAATAAATTGAATTGCAAGTCGTTCTATAGCGTAGCCACTTTTTGAAGTTGATATGACATGTAGACTCGTATGTGCTTTGACAGTAGCCTTCGGCTCACTAGAAAACGATCAGAATATCCCCCAACACTCCCTAGGTTCGTTCATAGCTGGTAAGCTCACTCCTATCATTGCGTTATTCCCAGTGAGTATGTGCCAGCAGAGAACAACGGAGGAGATACGTGAAACATAAACTGCCACGAAAGAGACTGATCTCATAATGACCGAAGTACCCGCTCACAAATTGTAGTGATTACGCCTAAGAAGAAGAAAAAAGTGTTTCTGATTAAAGGAAATTAAGTGATGGCGGAGGCTATTTCTATCCCTGAATCACAGATACGTAGATATCAGTCAGCCAGATGCGAATATCGCCCCTTGCTCATCTCCATTTCTCACATCAGTCACTCATTTTCCGAGCTTCCAACAGATGATGTCTCTCGTTCAATAAACCCAACAGTGTCTGAATGATTCACGCATCAGTAGCCTAGGCTCCCTAATTCGCGAGCAGCCCGCGCCCAAAATCCACGATTCACCGATCAAGATAGCTGCGTAGCTCATACTCGACGCTGCGTCAAAGTTACAAATCGCGGTGATCGAAAAAGAGAGTTACCTGATGCAGGAACAGTCCTCTTCCACGAGCCTACTGGTGTGCACCATGTGATAACCCAGCCCAGAACATTCATTGCACGTTTCAGAATTTTTCCTTCCTGTCGCATTGCAATCTGCACATGAAGGATAGGACCATTCATACTTATAGAGTTGGAATACGCCAACGCCATAGCAGGTCGTGCAGCGCGGATTCGCTCTCCGGGACCTGCCCGTAACGCGGTTCGGCATGGTTTTTGTTAAATGGCTCCACAGCCGAAATGAAATGAGATAGATGAAGAATAATATCGATACAAGGATCGAGTAATTTGCTTTGATGTTTGCGATGGATTATGCTCTCTGGAGTTGCTCTCACGCTAGCTTTGGCAAGTTTTGGGGATTGTTTGTAAAGGGGAGATCAGCAGATAGAGTCGCTTGCCGTTAAATAATGAGAGGATACTATATGATTCAGCTACATGGGTGAGGAAACTTGATACTGTGTGCAACTGCTAAACGCCACCCATACGAGCTTCTGTGTTGGTAAATCACGGCCTGTTAGGTCTGCAAATCAGTGACGATGGTATGAACGGCCACCCCTATACTGAATACCCTCTTGAGTGTTTTTTTTTTGTTTTGTTTTTCATTTCGTGTCCATTCACAGGTATTGTGAGGCTACACAGCCAGGCTATGGAGATCAGTGAATCAAGCCATGGGATTTGACCGTGAGAACCGTAAAGATTTGAAATAAGGTGAGTTTTCATCCCTCTAGCTGCAACTGCCGAGTCATTTCGGACATAAATCATAAAATCTCTATATCCTTGTATCCTTGCGATATTTGCCATCGAAACTTTCTGACGCAAGGGATACCCTTTTTGCAGGGGAGAAGCACCAGCACTAATAGATATGCCTCGTGAGTGGGCTGGAGTTATGAACGATTTGATTGATTTCAAGACGCCCCGTAGTCCTCGTCGTTATTTTACCATTGAAGCCTATTTGTACTTGAATCAGTGGATCTGGCCTTGTATGAGCCGAGTCAGGATATCTCTCGCTGCTACAACAACAGTTTGCCTTGATTACGTCGTCGGACCTATCTAACTTGTAACAGAAGCAGCCTTTTGCCGCAGCCACAATGAACCTTACCATCACTACCGCCATGTGGGGTGTTACAGAATATGTAACCATCTAGTCCATATGTAGAGCTCACGATCGCGTCCTTTTGACAAAGGCGCTCGAGTTCAAACTATTTCGTTGAAGCGTGGCGCTACGTTGAAGGCTCTGCCCAAAGCCAAGCTGCGGGTATCGCTATCCACCCGATAGTAATTCCCTTTTCACTTTTCTTACGGCATAAATTGCAAAAACGAGGTTTTATGAGCCAGGAAGCTTCTTCCAGTGCAGCGTAGGATGATTGCTGGCTTTCCGCCAACCATCCCTGGCGTGATGGCGGTGGATGTCCGTTTTCGGCAATTCCGCATTTGGAGGAAGATACGGAAAAGGTTGGCTCATCCCCTCCCTCAATGGAACTCAGTGTCATTATTAATAATATCTGACCACTGAGATCGATACGTCGTTGGAGGCATGCCGTTTTCCGGTTTTCAAGACAGAAAATATTAAATACGCTGAGCTGCCGCCTTTGAGCGCTCATCTGCTCTTGGTCTCACATCGCCTCGTCGCATCGCTTCACGCCACCTCATCTCCAGAGAACAATCATGGCTGTCCCTGTCCAAATCATTCCTATCGCTTCATATTCTATGGGAGCCGCGCCCCCATCCTCCTCGAGCGATACGTCATCACATTTCGACACCTCAGAATCTGCCACGCAGAGCGAAGGATTGAGCAAGGCGCTCTACATCCCTTATCATACCAACAAAACTACCCATCTGCCTCTCTATGACATCACGGATCAATACACTGCGTCAGTGGGGGATCTCCCTATTGGTAGCCCGAGATACAAAGCTCAGATCAGGTTGATGAAAAAGCCATCAGGGAACTCGCTCGAGGGCAACGTCAAATATCTGATCGATTTTCACTCTCTGGGACGGACTGCCACGATTACCGAACGGACTATTGGCCGCGATGGGATCGAGGTTGACCTGTAAGAATGCAGTTTGATATGTGAAGTAAAATCTTGAACCACATCAGATGCTAATTCTTGTTGGCTCAGATCTCTTCCTTCGACTCTCGGTGAGGAATTCCGCCTCGGTGTCGTGGCTCCGAATCAACAAGCCATGAACCGGGTAACAGCACATTACGCCTCAGAGCCAGAAAAGTCCAAAAGAAAAACGGCACCACAAAATCCATCATTTGCCGTTCAAGGCGGCATATCTAGGTCCTCAGCTCTCGAATGGAAGCCTTTCCCATTCGAACCTGGGTGCTTGACCTATGGTTTATTCGATTCACTCTCCTCAATGAACGTCGCTGAGGCTGAGCCCCGAGCTCTGTATCAACACTGTCGCCATGAAGGAGACTTTGTGGTCAGTGGCCACAGCGAGGGTATTCTTCTTCTCGCGGGTAGTGAGCACCCTGAAGACGAGGCTTTGATCGTGTCCAGCCTGGTTGGACTTCTGTGGGATCTGCGGTGCGACAAGCCGGCTGCGTCAAAGGGAAGAAAATCCATGTTCAAAAACATGTTCAGGACCAGTTTGTAGTTCGGGGGAGAGCTCAGTCTATGTGGAAAATAGGAAGTCTCGTCAGCGTGCCTTCAACGTCGGCAGTATGCAATTCTCGCCGCATCTTGGACTTATGGGAAGATGCATGGCTGAAGCGGGGGGGATTTGTGAAAAGTTTGATGCTTGAGATTGGAAGAGTCGTTTATTATACCCTTGAATGTATGTGTGCGTATTTGCTTTATTTACCAAATTGCAATATTTCAATTAAATACCCGCTTGCACCACTCTCAGAGCTCCAGTCATTGACGTTCATATCTGGTCCATTTGTTGATATTGCCAGACAGAGGTCACCCTTGCTAAAAATGTCATCTGAGGGCCAATAGTCTAGAGACACGTGAAACGCGCCGTAAAACTCGCTTTCAATGGCACAGCGTAGAATATGACTGGTCACCTGACTCTTCCCCTCATCCCTTGAACATCAATCAGGACATCTGATTGTCACCAGCTCAAGAACAAATATTCGTTAGTCCGACTTGACTACGACATGCCACAAACTCGTGTAAAGTCCAGCGACACTCTAGGCATTGACCTGGACGATGGACGTGTCTTGTTCCTCCCTGGAGGCACCATCACCGGGACAATCTTCCGACAGCAAACAATAGTTTCAACCGAAGCAACCATCAGTCTTGTACTTCGTGGACGAACTAAATCAATTTTCCTGGTGAGCACCGGCCAGACCACTGTCGTCTATCGCGGCCGCTTCACCCTTATCAATGTTTCGCAAGCAATATTTTCTGGCCCTCTACATATCCCCAAGGACAGCCATAAGCGCCGAGATTGGAAATTCACGATAGAAATACCACAGAGGATTGATCCCAGTCTCTTACCCCGATATAAGCCACATGAGTCATTCCTAGATCCAGCAATAGTCGACACGTTGACCCTTCCGGCTTCATTCATCAGCCTCCATGGAGCGGACCAAGCTTTTATTGAGTACTACCTAGAGGCCAAGATCAGATTTCAAAGGGAGCGGTCATGGGTCGAGGAGACTGCAAAAATGCCAATTCGTATCCTCGCCCATCCTTGTCCGCCAACCCATCCCACTTCGACCTCCTTCTTGAGAATCCCGAGATCCGTATCGTCCCAAAGGCTTCTACCCGGCATGGAGAACGCTCATTTAACTGCTGGACAAAGGTTTAAGAAGCTTGTGGGCGCGTCCTCGGTCCCTGAGTTGGCATTCCACCTGGAGCTGGATATTCCAAATGAAATCCATGTGGATCAACGCCCAGTCCCAATCACGATGCGAGTAGTGCCTTACTGGTCGTCGACACACGAAGCGCTTAAGAATCAGCCACAGAAGGTCAGACTTATCAACTTCAAAGCTACATTGGAGTCGCGCTGTGCTATTCTCTGCGAAGGGTTTTCCTGGGCAATCAGTAAAACCAGCTGGAAAGAGAAGGCGGTTTTGCCAACAGCCAGTCAGAGTCCAGCCTCTGCTATCGAGATTCCCTTCTCCTCTGATGAGCCGGCGATAGATATTGGACACGCACTTGACCTGTGGGTGGAGAGAGGAGGTAAAAACAGTGCAGCGTTTCAAGACTTCACCACGTTCAACATCACTCTAACACACAAGCTATACTGGGCTGTGAAACTTGATATTGCGCAGGAGACTATCCATTTCAATGGAGTTCAGAATATCCGAATTCTACCACCGATTGACAGCTCCTCCGCGCCTGAATACATTGAATCAGAAGTCCTACCCGAATATGAGACAGATTCGTCGATAGACGGGGTTGACCGAAAGGGGAAACCACCAAGCTTTGAAGAGGCGCAAAAACTCGAAGGAGCGCACAAGAATACCAGCCATGACAAAGAACACTGATGATAATCATCTTCCCAGTGGAATGGTGGAGCAAGTCGAATGCGATTACTTTCTAACAAGAAATGAGGAACGCGCGACACTATTGTGGTGATATTCGATAGGAACCATGATAGTTAAATCTGGGTACATGTAAATTTGAAGTATATTTTCACTAACAGATGGATCTATTTAACGCAAACAATTTTTTAGTCATACTAACTGACTTTGAATATGATTCGAAGTCATAATATATCACGCCCGTCACCAATGGTGATTGATTATTTGTCTTAGTAAATTCCTACCCAGAAGAGAACTCTGTGTTTCAAGAGCAGCCTACCCCAATACCCTTTACTCTTCTATCGACTCTTTCATCTCTAGTCTCTCGGTTTCAAGCCAAAAGACACGTGTGTCATAATTTCCCTCCTAAATCTTGCCACGGACAAGATTACCAACCATTTCTCGAGCTGTGAGTACGACAGTGCGGTATAGAGTAGGGAAATCCAGTGTACTGGTGAAGGTATCCGCAAATCCGAAAAACAGCATTGGTGGGATCCATCCGCTTGCAAGCTCAAGAGCAAAACAGTGGTTGGGGCATTTGTATTGCTTGACGGTACCGCGCTTCAGATGGTGTACAGATCCAGGAGGGTAGATCTCCGGCTCGTACTTTCCTGGGACGTATGCTCGCTCCTCGCCGGTGAGAATGTGAAAGTAGTCGTCTGCTGTGTGGCGCCCGGAGTGACCCTCAGTGCCGAGCGGAGTGCCATAGATGATAAGGTATTCAGTGAGGCTGGCATGGATGATGTACATGCCGCCCATGGCGCTCCCGTGGTTATTAAACATCCATTCGTCGGGGTCGTCGTGTCGTGGGTTCACGGCTGAGGGAAATTTCTCGTACAGTTCGCTGACGATGTATTTGACGATGGCATCCGTGTCATTTCCATGCTCGTAGATGGCCCTCTTCGATAGGTCGTGCATATAAGGCTTGTCGAAAATATAGAAGCTCTCTAAGTTTCTATCAATCAGGTACACGGCGGCCGATAGAAAGCCGATTACCGCCCCGAGGATCGTTAACCAACGAGACATTGTTTAAATCGAGAAACTGACGTTGGATACCGGCGAGTGTTGAGAACCTGAAGGAAACCTCAACTTCTTTAAGAACGGCAGCAATGTTTGAAGCCGTATAGTAGAGCTTTTGGTGTGCTTGATATCAATTGATATGGCTGTGTTGTTCGGGCTCGGCGCCCGCGGGGATCCGGCCGGAAGCTTGCTGAGCCGGATCGTACCATCCACCCACGGCGATGTTGGATACGAATACGACCTTGAATTGTAAGCCCGGCAGCTCGCTGATTTTTGCCAAGGGTCGGAGAATTGCATAGGCCCATGTTTAGCTTCTCGGGAGTTGAGTTGCCGTGCAATAATCGTTGCTTCATTGGTCATCATGTCCGGAACTGGGTGGTTGGAGGTCGGAGATTTGAGGCACCCCACGGACTGATATGTCTCGGTTCTAGAAGGTCAAGATGACGCGGTCAGAAATTTCCCAATTTGAGCTCAGCTTCGCTTATTGTGTAAGTATCTCATTAGCACATTGAGAGGAGAGATCTCGGTGCTGACAGAGGCGCCGGAACGTCTTCATTCCGGTAGATCCTACACAGGATGGAGCATCACTACTAGCCTAATCGGTGTGTTATTACGCTCATACAAAACAATTATCTACGCACCTAAATATCTATGCCTCTTATTCGTATTCCAACGCCGTCCATGCTACAGTGGTGAATTACGCCATGACCCATGAGCGCCGTGGTCCTAGCTGGTGGATAATAAGCTTGATCAGAAAATTTGTTTACTAGATTGGCCACCTCGCTCAGTTTTACCCTTCATCACTGATCAGGACATACCCGTCTAAATTAATTGTATGCCCCTTCCCAGAGCTTTGAGCTTTCTTCCCCGTGCCAGCGTGAGCTCTCATCGCAATACTCCACCTGTTCCCTGTAAAATATATTGCCCTGCGAGCACTCGGCTACTTTTCCAACGAGACTGGAGTCTTTTGCAAAATTTTCGAATGCCCGCATAATGGTGGACATGGGCGTTAGATGTTCGCTTGGCATGACCTTCAGCAGAAACTCCGGTGCGAGGCTGGTTGGAACAAAGGCGGGACAGATGCAGTTCACCCTAATGTTTTCTTTCTGAAATACAGGGGCCACAGATCTCACAAGACCAATGATCTAATTCTCGAATCAGCTGTTGATGAACTATACGAACAGGATGACAAACACACCCCGTGTTTAGCCGCAGCGTATTGGGGATTTGTCGGAAGCTTGTATAACCCAGCGTTGGAACTTGTGAACACGATCGTCCCACCATCCCCTCCGTTTTGCCGAAAATAATGGGCAGCAAGATAAAGACAATAGATTTGACCGTTCAAATCTATGTCAATCGTCCCCAAGTTAGGCTTCTGAGGCTCCCCTTCATTCTTCTCATATAAACTTTGAAAATCTGCTACGCCAGCATTAGCGGCAACATAGTCGATCCGGCCAAACTTTTCAACTGTCTTCTTATACAGCGATGCTACATCATCCCAATTCGACACATCAGTTCTGTGGAAGAATGCTTGATCACCCAACTCCTCGGCTGCCCGCTGGCCACCCAATACATCGACATCGGCGAGCGTCACATTCCAGCCTTGCTCCGTGAATTGGCGAGATAGGGCTAGACCTATGCCCGAGGCAGCGCCTGTGATAATTGCAACTGGCATGATTGTTTTCCAAAATTGAAGTCAAGATGTATACTTGAGAACTGGCAAAGATGGGGTTTCCTTAGAGGAGCGGGATTTGTAGCAACTGCTCCGCATTATGGATGGTGCCGCCTTTGTTGGTGGATCTCGAATATGGACTTGCCTCAGGTGACTCTTAAAATATCTATTAAGTAAGCAGCAGTGCTTTCTCTCTTCCGTTTCTTTACCATAAAGTAGTGGAGAAAAAGAAGTTCTTGCCGTTACTATAGGGGTCAGAGTTCAATCATCATCAATAAGGTGGAATGACCCTGAGGTCTGGACTTTGGGCAGCTGGCAATATCTACCTTGCTTCGGGGGGCAAGTGATACACGCAAGGTCCACATGAAATTCTGTCCGGTTGAGTAAAGTACCAGTGGCACAAATGGTAACTGGTGGTAGAGACTTTAG